GTCTAGGAGTTTTTTCAATATTTTATTTGTTTTCAGCACACCAAAATACATGCAAATTAGATGAAAATAATCAAACAGCTTTTTAGTCGCAGACTAAATTATTAATTATTAATCAAGGTCATAGGGTGTATCTGCTGAATTTTCCAATATGCACAGAGAATTTGATGGAAGACCTTTACAACATCTTTCAAGAGATAGTCACTGATCCCTTCCAGAACAATATTTGGGTAGAATTTTGAGCTTTCTATAAATTCAGAATATTCTAAAACGTAGCACAAAAATATTGAAAATCTGGGAAAAAAGAATGCTTTCATTTTTTAATTTAACATTTTATTCAGAAGCTCAGAGTATTTCTAGGATACAATTTTGTCAGATATGTATGAAAATTGCCATGGCAACTGTACTTATGGATCACCTCTGAATTTCTATTCAAAAATGGTAAGTAACACTGAAATGTTTCAACCATGAGAACTACTTTTGGTGTTCTTACTCCTGGTTTTTAAAACATCTTAAATTATATAATAATTTATTGTACCTGCTTCTTATCCAAATAGTATGAATTTTAATATTAACATATTATTGGTATCAGATTAAACAAATTTGTCTAAAGAAATATGCAGCAGAAAATATTAAAACTAGTAATCGAGCTAAAGGCACAATCCAATAAAAATACAATAGTAAATTAATCTGAGAAAATAGCTTTAAACTTACTTAGTATGAAAATCCTGTAGAATTTTCAAGATTTGGCAAAAAACCTCTGGATCCAATGATTTTTGGAAGAGGTTAGGATAAAGGCAAGGATCTATTTGCTTTGGAAGAACAAAAGAAAAACAGACTAATAATAGGAATATATTTATAAATCAGACCCCATATTTACTATTAATAGATTTCTTATTCTTACATAAAGCTTATTAAAATAAAATTCAAACATAATTTATTGCAACAATTAGTATTCAAATCATAGCACGTTACTATTAATTATCTTGGGAGCGTCTCTGTTTCTCAATAAGATTAATAATGGCAATCACCTTTCACAGTAAAACACAATGAATGCCTTTGAATGACAAGTGTTATCCCCACCTCACTCCTACAATTAACAGACAAAAATGCTGACCATTTTCTGAAGCACATTTCATAGTTCACATGGTGGTGAAATAAAGATCTGTCCATAAACTGGATATGTGATACCTGGATTCAAATTCATACTCAATGTAAAGGAATTAATTTCAATCTTGAAGAAGATACCAAAAGTCATTGAAGATGGACTTGAAGTAAAGATTACACAGTTCATAAATTGAAAAAAACTGTTAGAAATAAATTCAAAACAACCTTTATTTTCTTTAGTGTAAGATAGAACAGAAAACAATTTGAATAGGTCTTCGGATACGCTTCAAGGCGCTAGTCGTCACTTATAAAGCCCTTCATGGTATTGGACCTGGGTACTTGAGAGACCGCCTGCTGCCAATTACCTCCAGACCGATTAGATCCCACAGATTAGGCCTCCTCCGAATTCCATCTACTGGCCAATGCCGATTGGCTACCACCCGGAGGAGGCCCTTCTCTGTGGCTGTTCCGACCTTCTGGAACGAACTCCCCGTGGAGATTCGAACCCTCACCCCCCTCCAGGCCTTCCG